TTTTGGTTGTCAAATCTACTTTCCCAACCTAAACACTGCCTTTCATGCAGTACATCCTTTACATTGTTACATAAATTATGAGATTAGACCTAAAACTATTTCTGCCTTAAAAGAGGTTTTGTTATTTCATGGGTCCCCAGCCAGAGGAATATTCCAGAAGAGCAAATCAATATTTATAAAGGAAATTGCATTCCATTTCAAATCATATACAAGCACCTGACCAGAGCTTTGGCAGGATCTGATTTTGAAATCACGGATCACAAATCTTATTTCTTTTTCATGAAAAAGGGTTCTGCTTCTATTATTTGGAAATCTTTAGAAGGCAGATTTTAGGGTGCAAGGCCTTGGTCTGCACCGGTGGTGTCTGTGTGGTGGAGGTTGACCCCTGTCCTTTTTCCTCTTGCAGTAGTATTGAAAAATAGGCTGACTTTGTCTTTAAACACTATTTCTGTGGCTGTAAGGCATTTTAATGGGAAATTTTATGGTTTAAATGGATATACAGACAGAGAAAAGGATACAATGGTGATTTTTGTTGTTGATGAGCTCATGAGATTTTGAAACCTGCCTGGGTTTCACATGTAAGAATTCTCTAATGATGACTTAAAAGTTCTCCTTGGCTTTATGATCTGTGGCAGCCTTAAAGAGCAAAGTTCCTTGTCCACAAGCTGCATCCTAAAAGAGTAAACCACCAATTTTTTTCCCCCATCTGTCACAAGAGCAAGCCATGAACTGAAAATGTGCAATTTTGCATTAGAAGGGAAGCCACTATAAGATGCTCCCTCTCTTGAAAGATCAAGGAGGTGTGCAGGTTAGTGAGGGAGAGAATAATACCAGCTTTTATCCAACACTGCAATTCTCTTTATAGAAATGATTTATATATATATATATTTAAGAAAACACAGCAAAGCTTGCTGCACTCCCAATAGTTCTATCAAGGGTTGGATTAGCCCTAACAGCCCTATTTTTACAGAGCTTGAGGCACCAAAAAAAAAGGCTAAAGAGTGTTTTATGAGTTCCCATTGAAATGTTAGTGGCATGTATCTGGAAATTTCAGCTACAAAGACAGCACCAAAGCCATCATGGCTTGATTGCCATAACTGGTATGGAACAGAACTCAGAACAGCCAGAGGCTCAAGCCAGAGGGATTTATACATAAGTGCTTGCGTCTGTAGGGTTCTTGTGTAAAAATAGGATTTTGCCCACGCATGTGCTGTCTGAAACACTTCAGATATCTAAAATTGTTCCAGCCTTGCTGCTTAAAAGGCCACAAATACTTCAGCAATGTGCACAATGTAAAGCTTCATATTGTAAAAGGAGAGTGGCTGCACTTCACTAAATTTGCTGTAACCTTGTCAATTTTGCAACACACTGGAGCTTCCTGATTAGCAAAAATAAGGTAGCTTCCAGGAAGAAAATGCAGAACGGATCTCAAATGTGCTTCTGAAGTCACTGCACTTGGTCAGAGTGAAAAACCTAATTTCGATGTGTATTGATATGCTTCAGTTGTCATGGAGATCAGCAGGATAGGGAACGTCCAGTGCCCAAGGCCACTTGACTTTTCGAATTAGCCACGGATGTGGGTGCAGGATCTTTTATCAGAGCAGCTTGCTTAGATCCTGGGAAAAATAACAGGTCTGGAGAACCAGAAAAAATTTCAGAAGTTTCAAATTGAGCATTAACTCTGGAATATCCAAAGTAGACCATTCTGGCTGTTTGTGTTTTTCCTCATGCATTGCTCATGTCTAAGTTTGCTGGTTTGAGTGCAGTTAGACTGAAAGAGATGGATCTGAATTTTTCTTTGCCCCAAATCAGTTTGCACCTCTGATTCTTTGAATCAGTTACTTAATGTGAAGGTGAAGGTGGAGCTGAAGCAACTGGTCATGCAGCAGTTAATGTGAGAGTGCAGGAAATGGGGAATAATTCTGACATCTCTGATCCTGAGCCTGCTTTCAGTTTATACCAAGGCTCGATGCCCACCACCAACCATGGTCTTCCACTTAGTTTTTCCCACCATTCAAACTTTTGCCTCTATCATATGAGGACAACAGGAATTTACTTTCCCCTCAGTGTCTCTGTTTCTCCTTGCCATTGATTTATTGTGTCTCACTTTAGCAGCTGGCATTGTTTCACATCCAGTGGGGTTAGTTTTTAGGAGAATTTTTAGGACGTACTCCAGGATTAGTTTTACATCTGGAGAATTTTTAGGGCGTACTCCAGGGAAGTACACAGCCTGAGGTAGGGAAGGGACAAGGAAGATGGTGCTGTCCCAATGCAGAAGGTTTTTGATCTGGAAAGACAAATTTCTTGTGAGGATTTTGTGAGTAATATTGTGTGTCCAAGGAACTGTGTGGTGCAAAGCAGGCAATCAGTTTTCTAAGAACAAATTGTGCCTGCCTTGGACAGTAAAAGAACGTCCTCAAAGGCCACCAGGCTCCAGATGCTTAATACAGAATGAAGTCTCAGTGAAGGTTGTTGAAACAAATACAAACTACCTCAAGACAGGACCAATCCAAAGCCATGTGTAAGGTTCTTATCACAGTCTTAGTCCCACCTGTATCATTACTGATTTCCAAACTGTAATTCCTCTTTATGTTTCCAATGAAAACACTGGAGTTATTCAGCTGATTATGTGTCTGCAAGCCCAGCTTTTTTTAACAAAGGCTGTACTCTCTTTTTTCATGAAGGAGAGTTGTAGAGATGGGTTGTACCATGAATCTGCAGGGATATTGTAGAACATGTAAGGCAGGTGAGTCAAAACAGTGTAAGTGAAGCTTCAGAGCTGCAAATTATGTAAACCCAGTGTAGTTATAGTGATGCTGAGCTCTGCCAGCTGACAGAAACCAAAACCTGTCTGTAATGCTTGAAAATCCACTTATTGTGTCAGCCTGGGACCATAAACTCTCAGTGGGCTTTGCTCGTTTGCTTTCTTTCAAGGACAATGAGCTAAATCTCATTGTCAGATATTTATGCCTGGGTTTGGATATTCATAACAGTAAAGTATTCAAAACGTTAATTTATGTAAGGATCTCATTTGGCATGGTACATTTTTCTCATTCAACCTCCTATTGTCTGCTCAGTGATGTTACTGCACCTCCAGCAGAATTATTCCACAGTGCACGACTTGGATCTGTGCTCTGCACTCAGAGACAATAACCCAGCTTGGGAAAACAGGAGCTCCAGAATTAATACAGGACAAGAATCAGAACCTTGAAGCTACAGTTGTTTTTGTTGGAAGAGTTCTGCCCTCTGCTACCAGCTTTATTCTCAAAAACACAGGCAAATATCAGGCTTAATCTCTTCATTATTTAACTCCAAGTATAGCAATGGTGTTCTCCTTCTTTTTATGTCCACTCTGTAGAAGTTAGAAAAGGCATGGATGAGCACTGTAGATAGGATTTTTTGCTCTCTTTGACCATTTTGTTTCACCTTCAAGCTTCAGATCTATTCAAGGGTCAGATTTACTGGACAGAAAGTTCCAGTCCAAATTCATGTTTGTTAAAACATCTGTTTTTAACCACAGCATTAATCTGCAAGCAGTCATTCAGCTTCAGCTCCTTATTTTGGTGTCATTAGCAAGGAAAAGTAGAACTTTAGGTAACAAGACTAAGAATTTGGGATTTGTTTTCCATTAAGGCTAGAGACACAGTTTTCTTTTTTTTTTTAGTTTGGTTTGGTTTTCTTTCATGAAGAGCACAATATTTGTTGTACTTTTAGTAAGACAGAAGGACATCTACCTGATTTAATAAATCAATTTTGCTGGGCTCCTTCCACAGTCAGTAGAGACCTACCCAGTCCAGAGATGAAAATCCTTTAGTACAGCTTATTTCACTTTAAACAACAATTTTAAAATAGGTCAGGTAAATCTCACTTTATGGCCTGTTTCTCACCAGTGACTGCCAAGCTGGCATGGGGTGATAAGGAAAAAGGCATGCAGCTAAAAAAATTAGAGGAGATACAACTGAAAGACAATTTGCTGAGGAGCACCTGGGCTTACTCTGTGTCTGGATGAGAGGGTGAATGGCTCTGCCTGCACACAGTGGGTCAGAGCTGCAGCCACTGCAGTGGGATGGAATTGTAGAATCTGTTTGTTGTTCACAGAATAAGTTCTGCTTTCCAAACTGCTCCATCTGGTCTGTAAGGGTGTGGGGTTTATAAATGTAGTTGGTGTTTTGAAGGCAAACAAGTGCAGCTTCAGGGAATCCTCAGCTCCTGAGCAGCAAGGAGATTTCTCCCAGCCTAGAGAAGTATCAGCTGAGGGGAAGAGGTTGAGTGATATAAATAATATATTAGACAGATCTACTTTTCTCCTCTCTCTCCCATACAATCTCTCTGCTTCCACTTTGGTTAACTTTCTACTGTATTTTCAGTACTTTATTTCATTGATTTGTTTCTGCATTCCTGTGATATAAATAATATATTAGGCAGATCTACTTTTCAGTTTTCTCCTCTTTCTCCCATACAATCTCTGCTTCCACTTTGGTTAACTTTCTACTGTATTTTCAGTACTTTATTTCATTGATTTGTTTCTGCATTCCTTCTCCTGCTACTACACAGCTGCCAATCCCATTCATGGTGAGGTTACATAGAATTTCTTGAGCAGGGTGCACAAAGATTCTCCATGAGGAGCAGTTTTAATTTGCGTGAATCAAGTTCTACCTTTACTGAGTTTCCCAAAGGATTCCCCTTCAGCACATTCAGAGACAAGGCACAAACCTCATAATTCCCCATGTGTTGGTAGCGACCTAAATTCAGGACCCTGATCATTTTCATGATGGATGTACTTGGATAATGCAGCAAAACCTGGATCAGCATGCTCGTTTCCCTCCTCTTAAGCACCTCTGAGACATCTAGAATGGAATTACAACTCCTTTTGCCTCAGATTTGTGTTCTCTCTCTCATTTGCATTGAGACGTCCCGGTGTTCGGTGGCCTTCAGCCACATCATCCATGGCTCATTTCACCCCGGGAGTGTTTAACTTTTTCTTTCCCCTTCCACCCTAGCACCCTCCCTCTTCCTCCCAGATGCAGCTGCAGTCCCTGCCCAGGACACTTGCGGTGAGACTCAGCTTGTTTGCCTTTAGCTGTCTAAAGTCTCGTGCTCGATCTGAGCAGTCCAGTCGTCGTCTGTGGTCACTTGGGGACACCAGGGCACCTCCACCAGACAGAGCATCCCCTGTGCCTTAGATGTCTCTGTCACACAGGCCAGCTCAGCCTGGAAGTCCCTGCTCTTTCCCCGAGTGAGCTCAAGGTGATAGTTCAGTTTGGAATCTGTCTTTGGCACGTAGAGTTAGATGTGACCGACTCCGTTCTCTGTGTGCCTACAGAGGTCTGAGGATCCTGCCCTGATTCGTGCAGTGTTTTCGTAGCCATGCTCTCATTTTAATTCATTTTCTTATATTTGTCTATTTTTTTCCTCCTTCATATTTTTTTTTCTGGTTCCTGCCTCCTCTGTCTCTTCTCTCTTTCCTCCTTTCCTTCCACCAGCGTCTCTACTTGGATAATGAATAAAGTTTGCAAAATAAAAGGGGAGGGAGAAAGGAAAGAAAATATCTATAAATTCTGTACTCTAAACTATCTGGGACACTTTACACCATCTAAAATCAGAGTGATGACTCTACCAAAATTAGAAGTGGCAGAAAATAAGTGCTAACAGCACAAAAATATTAACTTTTCCTAAGAAGTACTAGCATTGTTTTCCATCACAAACCCGTGTGTCAATGTCCCCTCACTGGGTGTGGAGCAGCAGTTAATCCATAGATAATATTTTCAAAATCAAGTCTGGTTTTTTCAATAATTCTAGTAAATACCAAGTGCTGTCACATTAGATCTCTTCACCAGGAAAACCTATTAAAAAATCAATCCCTGTCAAATGGAACAGGACATAAGCAGTAAAGGAAACATGGATGGGAATTTATTTCTAGGTTGCCATGGCAACATTAAGTATATCATTGAAGACCGCAAACCTCTACAACAACCCATGGCTAAGACTTTTCAAAGTGATTATTGATTTTTAGATGTTTCCTTTTCAGGTTCTGAACCTTAATATCCCTCATAAGTGCTTATTTTCAACACAGGCTGAGCAGCCCTCTTGTGGTAAAAATTGGTTTGAGAAATGTGTTTCAGATCAAGTGATCAAAAAAATGAGTGGCACTCAAAATCCATAGTCACTTCTGAAAGCCTCAGTCACAATAAAATGGAACTATCCCTTAAACCTCCTTGCTCATTTTTGATCAGTCTAAGTGGACAATTAATGCCCAACTCAGCTCTGTGAAAAGCAGGTGGTATGAAAATTTAGCACAGAAATTCTAGTGCAAAAGGAGCAGTCATTTTCATGTTTACTTCCTCAGCAACATCCAAAAAATTAAATTCATTTTATGTGTTGAAACACAGTTACTATACCCATTTGCTAGGATGTGTACATGCCACAAGACTGTGTTCTTTCCAGCTCTTATACTGTAATATTTAATAACAACACAATTATCAGACTTTAATTATCCAAAAGGAAGCAAAACATAACTCCAGAAATGGGGATTGACTTAAAGGAGTTGAAAGTAGGGGGAAATGTATGTTTTCAATTCAACCTGGTTTACTGTTCAGATTATAAATTCCAGGAATTGTGGACACAGATCTTAGACTGTAACAGAAACAGAGTTAGGTTTGTTTGAACAAACTTAAATGTTTGCCTTGAAGGCAATTGCTTTAAAAATCGACTTTATTATCCTTTATATTAATGGGGATTTACCATTTATTGTCCTTTACATTAATGGAGATTTAGTCAGGGTACTCAGTGGTGTTTGGTGTTCATCTCATCCTACACTGGACATCTAAAACAGGTCAGATGTACCTGTTTTAAATAAATAAATGGGCATTAATAAATGGGCATTTCTCTCTCAACCATTTATTCTGATGATTCTCAGGCTCCTAAGGATGTCCATTTTACTTACACACCTGTTCTGTAAACATCCAGCCTCTCCTGAGGTGAATCCCACCAAAACAGCCATGTGTTGAACACAAAACAAAAATTCTCCCCTTGAAAGTTGACAAGAAATCACTATTTTCAATTTTCATATTTTTCAGCCCAGATATAAAATCTCTTCGAGGATCCCTCCAAATGCCTCCATGTTTGAGATTAACTTTCTGATTGATTCATTTAAAGAAGCCTCTCCTGGCTGGTTGGAAAGGAGCTATTTTGTTCTCTGTTCCTAGAATCCAGCATGCAGGGATCATGGTCCTGCTCCATGGCGTACGAGCCTGCTGCTTTGATGAGCACACTGTCTTAGTGTGTGTGACAAAAAATAAGTGGTACCTCCAAAACTACCAGCCAGATGCCATACTGAGCTCCCTCCCCATCACCGAGGAAGATGGAAAAACAGCTTTGGTGTCCTTACTAGAACTCGTTGTTAAAAAACAAGGGATCCACACTACAATGAAAATGAGGAACACCCGATCCAATTCACCTTAGATTGATCCCCATCCTATGAGTTTATGTTACTCTCTGATTGTTCTCCATGAGCATGCAGTCAACTCTCATTTAATCTATTGTTCTGTGACCCCCTGTACAAAACTTTTCAGGTCCTGTGTATTTTGGATGCGTTAGCGCTGCCCCCCTGCCCTCAGGGTGTTTGAGTTTTGGTTTGTCCGTGAATCAGCACATCACAACGGCCAGCAACAGCCAGTGCGCTTTAATTTTTATTTAATCTTTTAATTTCTGCTTCAGTCAAGCAGCTGGTTTGTGCTGTGAGTCCATCCTGTCGTGTCTGCTTTCCATCTTTGTGGCGTGTCTCATGAAATGTGTTGAAAGTGACCTATCTTGGCCTGTTCACGATATGCTGAAAAAAATGCTAATCTTGTCATATTTAGCAGCTGCGTTCAGAAATGCTACTGTAAGCCTAAGAGGGCTAACCAGCACTCTTGCAAGATGTCAGAACTATCAACCATTACCCTGTAAGTGTACGCACTCCTGTGACATTACTGTGTGTGTATGACGCATGTTGCAGTTAAATGAGTGGATGAGAGCAGAGGGGAAAGCAGAGAGCAAAGCATTCATTTAGTTCTTGTTGCATGTAGAATTTTTTCTTTGTTCTTGTTCTGTGCTTTTGCCAATGCGCCACGATCGAGGATTTTAAGGTTGTTTTAATTTTATTTTTTTTTATTTCCTGTAATTATGGCTGATGCAATTGATGGTTCTGGGTAGTGTCTTTACAGAATTAATAGCTGCTCTTTATTGTACAGCAAAGAGGTGAGCACCTCATACTGAGAGAAAATGTTTCACCTGAAAGTTTCCTAGAAAAACTGTGTGAGGTTGAATCAATTAGATCCTCAGTGGGTATAAAACATCTTTTGTCCATTGAACTGAGTGAAGTTAACTTAATAAACACCCAGGGGTGAGGAAAGGCTAAAGATGACCTCAGATCAAAATTAATTGTGTCCATCAGCAGTTATAGAATCATAGAATCACTGAGTTGGAAAATACCTCTAAGATCATCAAGTTCAGTCCAATATAGAGTGAGGCATCCAGAGGAGTGAATAAAAGCCATTCAGCCAAGAGTTGTGTGAATTAATCACTATCCTGTAGTCCCTCTGACCCCTTGCTCCTTGCACAAGAAGCCCACAGGTTTTCACAGATTCATGGAATCATTAAGGTTGGAAAAGAGCTCCAAGGTCATCCTGTCATTTTGTTTAGATGAGGTACAATTTCAGACATCTATAATATGTCTCCAGATGATCTGTCTCCTGAATTTCACAGCAGTTCTATAAGTGTGAATCAACATTTTCTGAGGTGTCCTGACACACAGGCACAAAACTCCAACATTTTGCTAAAGAATATTTAGTAGTTGTCTTCAACACCATAAAGGAAGAAAGATTGGTTTGTAACTTAACTGCGTATGTAGTTATGTTTTTTAGTAAAAAAAAAAAAAAAATACAGGGTTATGTTTTTTAGTTAAAAAAAAATTTTCTGTGTGATTTCATATATCTTTGAGGTATTTAAGAAATAGAACAATAAAGATGCTAAAAAATATTCAGTCAACAGCTTGGAACTGTGCAAAAGCAGATAGAAATAGAGAAGACAAAAAGGAGCAGCTCCATCTTCTGAACAGAGAGCAGCTGAAGACTAAGAACAATTAGGTAAAACTAGGAGTTGGGTTTAGGAGGAGATAGTTTGAAATTTAAAGTTCAGTGCCTAATGAACATCCTGATGCAGCACACGTGTCATGTTGGGTCTTTGCAGAGAACCAAATTTTACATTAAATTCAGCATTTCTGAAAGATGGGAGACTGCTGACTCTCTAAGGTGAAATTCTCTACCTAGTCAAGGGCAAGAAGAGTTCAGCCTAAAAAGGAGGTATTTTAACCTATGGTTTTTGTGTCTGTTGAAATATGAAAGTCTTGGTAAGCTCCCCTGTTTTTCAAGTCCTAAGTCTGAATATGTGGTTTATGCGTGGGAAAATTAAAAATCTGGAATCATTCAGGTGTTACATCAGGTGTTTTGGAAGCGATGCTGCAGACCTAATTAAATTTTGGAAAAGATCTGTCAAGGAGATTACTGAGGTTCCTGAAAGTCACTTTAATATGTTCAGCATTTTGTGGTAAAATAGATCCTTCAGTTTATTAAACATGAGCTGTGTTGAGCATTTCATTATAATGACATCCTGTGCATTCATGGTTTGCTCTTTATCCTTCAATTTGAAATATTGTCACAATTCTTTTTTGCACAGATTTATCACGGAGATGATGAATGAACCATTGGCCAGAGAAATTGGGTTCCTCTAATCTAAAACTCACAAATCTACAGGGCAGAAATTTGTGTGACAAACTCACTCCAGGTTCCCTTTGAGGTCAATGGATAGATTTAGGATGTGATAAGAATTTCCTTTGGGGCAGAGGATTTGTCCTTTTGTGTCAGTGGTTCTTGCTCTTCATTGACAATAAAGGGAATTTAAGTCTGCATTTTATTTAACTAAAAATAGATGCCATCATTGCAGATATGTCACAGCATTAAGTTAATCAATATATACATAAATAAATGTACTCAATACCCACAGGGTTTACAACAGGAGTCACCTCTTGTTAAAAAGACATCTGTAGCACACAAGAATTATATTTTAAAAGTGTATTTTTCTCGCAATGACTTGAGAGACATTTTAAAAATAATTTCATTATCAATATCTACACTATATTTGTCCAAACCTCAGTGAGGTGAATGTTGCTTTTCAAGACTACACACTTTGATGTCTTCATTGCAGAAATTTATATTTGATCAAAGTATTTCATTTAGGACAGCTTTTAAACTGGGCAATTCTCTTACTGCAGAGAGGCAGGACTAAATGGCAAAACAATAATCTAATCTTCCTTCAAGGTCTATGGTTTCAAGATTTTTGCTTATTTTTTGATTTTTTCTCTCAAAAAGGTTCAGCAGTCTCCTTAATATATGTGGATGTGCAATGGAAAAATAAAAGCAAGATTCTTCCAAATACTGGTCAAGTTAGACAACATTTTTATTTAGGGTTTCTTTTAGCATAAAATTTTAATTTCATTATTCCATAGAGGAGTGAGGGAGAAGAGAGGACACCATTATTTGTTTGTACTAACACTTAATGGAAAGTCCACATTCATAGCCATGCTACTGGAGAAAGTCTTATGTTTGAAGGGATTTTAAGGCAGATAACAGCTGGAAAACAGAATGTCAGCCTCAACAAAAATTGCTATTCAAATAGTTTTGGGGTTTTTTTAAGTAACCTTAAGGCTTTACTCTCCCTGTGGGAATATGAACAAGGCTTTTGCTAGACCTTTTGGAGAACATTATCTTCCAAAAAACTGAACAATTATTGTCCTTGAACTTCTAGATCCAACCCCTCCAAGTTTATTGAAAGAATGGGGGCAGAAAAGAGGATTAATATCTTTGGCTGTTACACACCTGAGAATTCCACTGTGTCCTTTAAAATTTTCATTCCCTGTTGCACACAAACTTACACATCTTGCAGGACCTGCTTTAAGTCTTCTCTCTTCCCAAAGTTCTTGAAAAAAAGCAATTTTTCATCATCCATACAGGCATTAATGTCTCTCAAAGCTTTTCTTATCATTAAAATCTTCTTTTCCTCTTTATTGATCTTAATCATCTATAAACTTCTGAATATGTTATTGAATGCATTTTCTTCCTCACTTTTATGACAATATTGAAGACAACACCTCAAATAAGTTGATTATGGCATTACATTTCCAGATCTTACAAACTAATTGTGTGATTAATCAGGTATGATTAATGCCAGAAAACTGACAATAAAAAAAGACTTCCTCTGCATCTTCCCCTGAATTAATCTCCCAAGAGTGCAGCGAGACAGAACATATTAATAGACAATTCTATTCTGACTTTTAGATCAAAACAACATTTATCCTTTTGTTGTTGTTGTCATTAAGTCTGAATATAAATGATAGAAGATATGGAGAGATTATTTTTTTGGCCCATTTATTACCGTTAGCTTTTTTTTTTTTAATTCCGTGACTACTTTATTACACTTATATTCTTTACATCCCTTTTTTACAGAGGTAACATTACTCTTTAATCTCTTCTGTTCCTTTTTATTAAACTGATTGTATGTCCATAGAGAAAAAGAATTAGAAAGGACTCCAAACGCTCTTTTACACTGGCTCACTCCTGTATAGATTACTTTTTTAGATGTCATCAAAGCTGGACACTCTGAATGTTCTTCATCACCCTCTTCCCAGGTTTTTCCTCTCTTTTCAAAAGATTTTGGCCAATGTCTAATTTTACCACCCACAAGAAGAGTGTTCTCTGGTTTGTGGGGTCTTCCGCCAAGACCTGAGGTTTGATGTCCATCAGATTTCTGGCTCAGGTGTGTTCAGTGCAGTCTCCAGGCAAGAGCTGGGGTGAATTTATCCCCATTGGGGCTCAGAGTGTGACTGAGAGACACCAGCACTGCACTCATGTCCCATTCCAGATCACTACTGAAGATAATTGTGCTCACAAAATTCTAGAAAGTGGGTTAATTGAATCTTCTAAAACAAACACATCAGTTTGGGCTATCACTGAGCATGAATTAGCAAATTCAAACCTGTCTGCAATGTACCAAGTAGATAAAAGCAGAGGGGATAACAGAGAGATCTGCCTTCACTTACCTGAACATAATCAATGTTATTCTTCCCCTCTGAAAATGTCTTGGAGGTTTTTTGGGTCACTTTGCGTGTAACAAAGCACTTGCCTTATTTTCAGAACATTTGCTTTCTCATTGCTCTTTCTTTTGCTGCTTAATCAGACAGTGACACTCACCAAAACATGCACAAGTCCTTGCTGGCCCCTGCTTTGGGGCAATTTCACCAGTGATGTACTCACATGTAAAACATTCATTTCCAACCCTTTGGTTTATATCAGCTGAGCTTAACTTCCCTTTAAAATCTCTTTATACTGAAGCAGTGAAATAGTTAAACGGTGGAATTGCACTTAGGTTTCCAACAGTATAAATTAAGGCCAAAATCAAACCTTCAGGAATAGTTGTGAGTACAGGAACATGCAGGGGTGTTAACTTTTACTTGTATGGCTGTTAGTTCTTTAGCTTTATTTGTGTGGTTGTTTGGGAATTTATTTTTTTTTTATTGCTGTGCAGAAATATATTCACACACACACACAGAAATCCACAAAAGAAGTAATTTCAAACACTCCACTGGGATTAAGTAACTGGGTGAGAGGTTTATAATTGTACCATAGTAGCAGTCTGAATCCCCTAGCAAAATTGCCCTTATTTTTTTGGCATGGTAGGAGAAAATTCCTGCTTATAATAATGCAAATAAAAATAGCAGCAGCGAGCATTAAGCATAATTAATGTGCCATTACTGTAGCAGTGTGAAGAAGGGGGAGCAAACTGCAGTGTGTGTGCAAAGAGTCTTTGGGAACAATTAGGAATGTTGCATATTTGTTTGTATAATTATGCAGTGTACGTATTTCCCAAAAGTCTATCAGCAAAATATTTTCTGTGCTTTCTTCTTTAATTAAAGTGCAGGTTGCTAATTGCAAGGCTGCATTAAAGTTCTTTCCCTCTGTTGTGACAGGAGACTGGCTCGCTCCACCCTGCTGCTGATCCCTTTGTTTGGAATTCACTACACGGTGTTTGCCTTTTCTCCTGAGAATGTCAGTAAGAGGGAGAGGCTGGTGTTTGAATTGGGACTGGGATCCTTCCAGGTGATTATACACTGAATTCAGCTTTCCTTAGAACCAAACCTCTGTTCTTTATAACTACTTTGCATGCACAGCTCTCAGAGCGTGTCTCTGCTCATTTATGGGTATGTTTTGCATACCACGATTTTGGGTTTGTTTGTTTGCTTGTTGTTTTTCTTTTTAACTCCACCTATTTTCTATCAAATGCTTTATTAAAACTATACTGTATTACATTAATACTATATTATAACTATACTAAAGAGATACTAAAAGATACTAAAGAAAAACCTGTGGCTGCCTTCAGACAGTCGGGCTCAGGTTCGAGTGATTGGTTAAGGAAACAAAACAATCCTCAGCAGAATCCAATTGACAAATCCCTTCAGGTAAACAATCTTCCTAACACATTCCACATGTGCAAAAACAACAGGAGCAGCAAGTAGAGATAAGAATTGTTTTCTCTTCTTCTCTCTGTGCTTCTCCAGGAAAAATCCTGGGAGAGAGAATTATTTCTCTTCCTGTTCAGAGAATGTGAATTCCACAGTTTTCTGTCATTCCTTCAGGATTTGAATTACTTTTATTTTTTCCTCTCCCATTTCCCTAGGGTTTTGTTGTTGCTGTTCTCTACTGCTTCTTGAATGGGGAGGTAAGATTTTTAATATTAAATGTCCTTCACCTGTCATCCACATCCCATTTTCTTGTGGGAGTAACTGCTGTTCCAACTGTCCATTCTAACTCATCATCTACCATAATCCCTGATACTTTAGTCTGAATCTCACAATTCTCAGAAAAAAAAAAAAAAAAAAAGAAAGAAAAAAGGATTTCTGATGTTTTTATCAAACCAACACATTGGCCTTACCAGAGATGATGGCTCAGATTAAGGCTTCCTGACAGGTAGGATATGGACAGGTTGCTTTTGACATGTCATCCCAGGTACAGAATTTTGCTCTGATTATGTTGAATTTTGCCCTGTTCTTGCCAGCCCACTCTTCCAGCCTGTGCAGCTCTCTCCAAGAGGTCTGACATGTCTCTGTCCCCACCCAGTTTGGAGCCATCAGCCAAACTGGTGATGGTGCTTTCAATTTGAGATTCATCAGAGATTGTGATGAAGATGGTGAGGCCCTGGCACAGGTTTCCAGAGATGCTGTGGCAGCCCCTGGATCCCTGGAAGTGTCCAAGGCCAGGTTGGATAGGGTTTGGAGCACTCTGGAGTAGTGGAAGGTGTCCCTGCACGTAGCAGGGGGTGGAAGGAGATGACCTTTAAGGTCTCTTCCAACCCAAACCATTCCATGCCCTGTGGAACAGTGTGGGGTCCAATATCAATACCTGGAGGACACCATTAGTGATAAGGTGCCAGGCTCAATAAAAAAGTAATGTTCACCTCTCAGTGTGGTCTCCTTCCCCTCTTGCAGATCATCTACCCACCCTAAATCTTGCCAGCTTTCCTAGGAAAAGGCTGAGGAGAACAGTGTCAAACCCTCCACTGAAGGTTGACTTTTCTTGGGCACCACCCAAGTGGTGCCAGCTTCTCTCCTGAGCCCTGCCACCTTCACCCCTACACACACAGTCCAAGGGTGTCAGGTGCCCAGAGCCATCCCCAGACACCACCTGGGTGCCTTGCAAGCCTCACTCTCCTCTCAGCACGTGGCAACTGCTGCTGGCCACATCTGTGGTTTCTTCTGGTTCTCCTGTTCCAATCTGAATTTCCCTGCCTGTTTGTCTGCCTGAATACCTGAGGTAATTGTTTTCTGAACTGATGGAAAAGGGTTCCCTGCTCAGTGTTGCCTTAAGAGGAGCATGGAACGTCTAGAGTTCATCCATTCTCTCCTCCACTGCTACACATCTCTTGTGCAGCACAGCAGTTGGAGTCTTTTCCTAAAATCACCATCTTTTCTTCTTTTCAAGGGGGCTGACTGCTGGTGTAGCCTGGCATTGCTGATCTCTGGTACAAAGAGGTCTCAAACTCCTTAATTCAAGTGACTCCTTCTCAGATAAACCACAACAATCTCCAAGCTCATCAAACAAACTTATGGGTTGTCTTTGCTCATGAGCATAGTCAAGATCTCCTGAATCCCTTTGGAAGGAGTGTGGGGGGGGTGGTTCTCAGCCAAACCAAGGCAACCAGATTAATTAAAGCCATTTTCCCTCTCAAGATATCAGAAAATGGTAATTAGAGAATGTCTTGTGCCTCCGCTAAATTTCGTACAGCAAGAAAATGTTTGGAATATCACACTCTTCCAGATTCGAACACTATTCCCTTTTTACAGAGAAAATGCAACTCCATTCTCTATCTAATTTTTAAATATCTATGTTTTAGATAACTTTAACCCAAATAGGAATTTGTAGGTTGCTGATCTCTGGTACAAAGAGGTCTCAAACTCCTTAATTCAAGTGACTCCTTCTCAGATAAACCACAACAATCTCCAAGCTCATCAAACAAACTTATGGGTTGTCTTTGCTCATGAGCATAGTCAAGATCTCCTGAATCCCCTTGGAAGGAGTGTGTGGGGGGGGTGGTTCTTAGCCAAACCAAGACAACCAGGTTAATTAAAGCCATTTTCCCTCTCAAGATATCAGAAAATGGTAATTAGAGAATGTCTTGTGCCTCCGCTAAATTTCGTACAGCAAGAAAATGTTTGGAATATCACACTCTTCCAGATTCGAACACTATTCCCTTTTTACAGAGAAAATGCAACTCCATTCTCTATCTAATTTTTAAATATCTATGTTTTAGATAACTTTAACCCAAATAGGAATTTGTAGGTCTTAGAAGGAGAGTGTAAGTTTTCCAGTTGGATTTTTCCTCCCTGTAGTTTTTTTTTTCCATACAGTTGAAGCCCTTGTTTAGCATTTTGACTTATACTCTCATCCATTTTGACAATATTAGTCCAGGAAAATTCATCAATGACTGTTACACACAAGACAAACATCTTTGACACAGCAGCTCATTGGAGATTGGAAAAATATATTGGGAAAACATCTCTACATATTTCCTTGTTCTTACATGATTTCATTCAGAAATACAACACAGGAATGAGTAATCAAGTAAATGTAGGCCTGAGCTACTACAACCTCTCTTATATTAAATCTTTACTACTTTGTATATTTATACACTTGTGCACACCCCAGTAGTGTTGCCAGGAAACTGGTAATGAGTGAAAAGTAGAAAAGCTGTGGGATTATTTACTTATTGCCTGATTGAACTTCTGACCTTGAATTGTTTTACTCTTGGTGATTTACTGTGGATGTGAATAAAAAAATAACCTCTCAAGAAAAGGAGGGTGGCACAGATGTGCATTAATCCCAGAGCTGGTCTGCTTGAAGAGGCAAAATTTCGTGTAAACATCCATCCATTAATGGCAGGTCAGAGAAGCTGCCTCTGTGGACAGGGTGTTTCAATATTATCCAGTATTTTTGACTGCTCATTTCTTTGGCTCCTTGCTGTATCTTTGGTACTGGCCAATGATGAAAACAGGCTATTTTTTCCTCCAGGTGGTGTTGATCAGGTCTTCATGCACCTCTGGGCTGATCCTAAATTATCTGAAATCAGACACAGAACCTGGGCTAGGCTGTAGTTCCCCATTACATGCCCAGACCTCTTCCAGCCATGGAAAAGTAATTTCAGATTTTGCTGAACTGAGGAGTTTAATAATAACCTTAAAACCAGTTCTGTCGAATTGTGGGGTTTTTTCTAATCTTGATAATTTGTCAGCATGTCCTCGAGCGGCTAAGTACATAAAAAATGACCTTTTGAAGTTTCTCCCTAAAGGTGCAATCAGAAATAAAGAGAAAATGGAGGAGCTGGAAAGTCAACCGGTATTTTGCTGTGGATTTCAAACATCGCCATCCTTCTCTAGCGAGCAGCGGAGTGAACGGGGGGACACAACTCTCCATTCTGAGCAAGAGCAGCTCTCAGATTCGGATGTCCAGCATAAATGCAGAGAACCTGGCGACATGAGCAGCTGAGGAGAGCAAAGCAACCAACGAGCAAACCAAAAACCATCCCTTGAAAAAGAAAAAAAAAGGAAATAATAGTTTTGGTGGTGGTGCAGGTCTCGCTTCCCCTTTCCTTTCCTTTCCTTTCCTTTCCTTTCCTTTCCTTTCCTTTCCTTTCCTTTCCTTTCCTTTCCTTTCCTTTCCTTTCCTTTCCTTTCCTTTCCTTTCCTTTCCTTTCCTTTCCTTTCCTTTCCTTTCCTTTCCTTGAATAATTTCTTAACTGGGATCTCTAGTTTCTTACTTTTAAAAAGGAAATTATATTGTTTTGGAGAGCAATTCAGTATATTTAAAGTGCTGCTTTCAAAGATGTGCTAAAATGTTGTCCTTTCCTTTCCTTTCCTTTCCTTTCCTCCCCTTTCCTCCCCTTTCCTCCCCTTTCCTCCCCTTTCCTCTCCTCCTCTTTCCTCTCCTCCTCTTTCCTCTCCTACCCTGAGGTGAAAAAGCAAATGAAACGTGTAAATATCTCTTTTTAACAGTCACTGTAAATACCCAGCTGTACTCAAGGCCATTAATGGAGAATGTTTAAAAGACAAACAAGAGGCCAAACCCACCCACTCAACTATTCCCATTTCAGAGCATCTGCGAGTAATCCGTGTCCGTCCAAAGTAAAAAGTGATTGCTGTGCAGTTGTGATCCTTGGTTGCCAAACTGATCCTACTCTGTGAATGGACATGACCGTTCTCATTTCTCCACTTGGTTTCCATTTTGGGTTGGATTTGCCTATTTTTGTTTTTCCCTGGTACAACATGTCTTAGCCTGTCCCTGTCTTTTGGCACGTGAATTTCCGCAGTGTTTCTCTTTGGAGTCTTAGGATGGAGCTAAAGTGCTTGGGTGGATCAATCCAGCTGATTCAGGAGGACCTCCAGAAAATTGAGTTTGTGGCTGGATTCAGACATTCCCGATGGATTTAGAGGAACAGCTGTGCCAACACCAAACTGCACATCAGTGCAGGAACTGCAGGCGAGAGCAGTGGGACCTGCTGTGCTTTCTGTACCCAGGGACACTCCCAGGAATGCTTTCTGTTCTAGCTAAGCTGTGAATTTTCTAAAAGGGCCATGCAGTTGAGATATAGCTCTATTTTTGGCATCGATTGATAGATTGATCATTTGGACTCTTTATAACACAAATAACTGTCCCTCCCCTCCCACCTTAAGAGCAAGAGGCAGTTCCAGGGTGGCCTTTCCCTCCAGATGACCTTGTACCCTCTGCTCCAGTGGCCACACGTGCCACGGGTGGCTTGGGGGCAGTGCTGTCACACAGAGTGCCGTGCCTTTGCAGCCTGGTTGACTTCTGAGTGCTGACTCTTCCCTGCCAGAGCAAAGAGGCACATGAAGGATCACCCTGGAAGGTAAAGAAAAATCACCTGCATTTGGTGAGGAAAAAAACCAACTAAACACTAGGATGGCACGGAAGGAAAGGATAAAGACTTTGGATGACTTCCCACACCTGGCAGTTCTCTCTCTCTTGGGATATTCTGTTTGTTTCACCACCAATGGTCTTACTGCTTTTCTTGGAGAGGAACTCGAATGTTCTTTCAACCTTTGCCTTGTAGTTAAAGCCACGACTGCTACAAATCTACTTCAACCCAATGTCGATGATGTCAATTCTTAAGAGTCTTTATACAGCGCAACAAAAAAAAGGCCTCAAGGGCCGTCCTAGCGCTCCCTTCATCTTGGATTTATGAATTTATGAACTGAGAAATATATATATATATCAAATATATATATATGTGCGTGTACGTGTATGCATATATTACAAACAAAGATGAAAATGGCATTTTAAATGTGAAGTTTTGAACTGAAACTAATAGTAACCAGGAAATTCAAAATTCAGGCTTGTACTTCGGTGTTAGTTGACATGATCATAAACTAAAAACAGAAAAAAAAGTGAAATACTTGGAATTTTAGTGTCAGCTGAGTGTGAGCTTTTAATTTCACTGGTTTTTGTTAGTTTAAGTACAAAAGAAAAAAGAGTTTTGATGTCATTTTAAACAGAGATTTTTAAAGATAATCCTAGTTTACTTATTTTTAAAAGGAGAAAAAAAAGAAAGGTCTCAGAAAGTTGTGAAAGAAATAATTATTATAATAATACTTAACACTTATATAATCCTTTATGGGAATATTCTGCTCTTGGCTGGAGCCATCTAAATGAATGTAAATTAAATTCAAAACAGACAGAAATGTTGTTTCAGGTCATTTTGATACAGGATCCTGCTCTTAAGAGATGGGGACAGCCCTGTCATGTGAAATCTGCCATGGCACAGAGGACCAGCAGAACAGCTGAAACCACTTCCACTGCACTCCAGATTCATAGATGGGATTTATATGATCCAAACACCTTTTTTCCCCCCAAATTTACAGCACTTATTTGCTGCTCTGAGAGCAGAATTTTTTTCCCCTCTTCCCAGCTCTCTGCAAAAGTCAGTGTTTTTAACTGATAGATTGTCCCTTCATCTTTCTTCAGGTGTTTCTTAAAGCTATTTTAGAATGTTTCTCCAGGAATCAGGTACTTTGCTGTCCAGACAGAGTTGGGGAAAGGCAGATTTATCAGGTAAATGAAATTTGGAAAATTTATGTAGGGCTTTCACAAGGATTATATTGCCAACTCTGTAAATGCATTATTAAAAAAAATTGCTATTTTTTTGCATGAATGGCTATTAGCCAGTTTTCAATCATTAATAATTTAGTATTATAGAGAAAAAGATGTCAAAAACTGCCTCTAGATGGAGACTTTTTCTTGTTTCAGCCCAGAGCAAGAAGGTGTTTGGATCTTTTCTTTATTTTTTTGCTATTGTTGAAATTATTCTGAGCTTACTTCTGGTTTTGTTGTTTTCCTGGCCATCCTAGAGTGCTCTGCAGTTTGAGTTGGTGGATCTCAGTCCAGTGCCTTGTGGGCAAACGTCCACATCACCAAAACCACCCTCTGACCCTGCACACCGGAGACCAGGTCCTCAGCTAAATTAAATCACTACAGAAAACTGCTGTTATTGCTAGAATAAACTTCACCTGGAATTGGGATTTGGCCTCAGCACATTGTTATTACCTTTAATTTTTGGTCGTCCCAGATAGAGAGCCCAAGGATGGAAAAGTTGTGAAAAGTTGGATTTGCTCCTTAATTCTTTGAGCCAATGCTTAGGAGTTTGGAGAGCAGTGGAAGAGAAATTTCTACTGTTGCACACATTGTGTTTCTTGTTCAGTAGAAAAATTGAATCTGTTTACCAGCACTGAATTTACCAGAAGAAATGAGATCTTCAACATATTAAATATACAAAAGATATTACACAAAAAAAAACCCCAAAACCTTCTATTATGATTTTATTTATCTGATGAAAAGTGTTGATGCACTGGCAGATCTGGCTTTTCCTGAGTCGCTGGAACTTTCCCAGTGTCCCTGGAAGGGACAGGTCACACTTTAGATGGACACAGTTATGGGATCCAGACTCTGATGCCATGGCACAAATGAGCTCTCCACAAATCTCTCTGTTGAATGTAAGCTGCAGGTGCTGGCCAGGCGTGGCCACCCCACAGTGGCTGTTTTTCCATTTGTTTCAGGAGGGAAGAATCCAGTTTGCTTCTCTGTGTGTGTAAATATCAACTGAGTGTAACAGTGCTTTGTTTGATTTTTCACTGTGAAATATATTTTGGAGCTAGAAAGGCTGTGTTATTAAAAACAGTACACAATTAAAACAAAACAAAAAAAAAAGTGTGCAGTGCTCCTTGAGCCATTTTTTCTACCATGTCCATAATGTATTTCCTGTCTAATTTTCTTATTTTGCTTTTATAAATGTACAGAAAACTTTTTGTGCCGCAGGTTTTGTGACTATTTACTGTATCTAACCACTGTTTTGATTATTGACTTGTGAGTGTGGAGTGCTGGTACTGCAGGACAATTCACATCCCAAAAATGAAAACTACAACCTGGATTGTAAAGGACAAAGCTGTTTCATTGCTGCATGGTGATGTCACCTTTTACTTTCACTTTTAGTATTTTTGGAAGTCAGAGCCCAGGGAAAGAACCTTAAATGCTTAGTTCTGGGAAGTTTTGAATCATAGTGGAAAAATACTCAAGTTCCCCTGCATTATTTCAATATTTGCATTTGAAAACCAGGTGTTAAAACCTGGGAGAATGGATGAAGATAGGTGAGTCCAGAGGAAAATGCAGTTTGGAAGTTAAATCCAGACACTTTATTGGGTGTTTGGCTGCTCCCTTTCAGCATCTGTCTCTCATTGCACCTTAAGGACAATGCCCTGCAATGACAAGGCTAAATAACAACCAGAAGTGGCCATGAACTGATAATTTGAGTTTCCCTTTGCAAAGATGACTCTCCCTGGACTCTCTCCATCATCAATGGCAAGTGTGAGATAACTTCCAGAAGGGAATGAAATTCATAGAATCAACCAAGGCAGGAGGTGACCTTGAATGACAAATTTGGTCCAACCTTTCATGAAAAAGGGAGCCAGGATGAGTTTATCCCACACCCTGTCCAGCCACCTCTTGAAAACCTCCCTTGGCAGGGACCACACCACACCTCTGGGGAGGTTATTCCCACAAATGGCTGTTCTTACTCTAAAAAAATTCCTTTCTTATATCAAGATGATCCCTCTCCTGGTGCAGCATGCCACCCTTGTATTCTCCACGTGGATTCTTTGGAGAAGAGAACCTTCATCCTCTTTCTGGCCACTGTTTTAGTACTGGAATAGTTTGGTGAGGTCTCCACTGGTGCTTCAGTTCTCCAGGGAGAAATTCCTTCAGTTTTCTTCACTGCCCCCATTGTCCATCCCTCTGATGATCCTCATGGTCCTCCTTGTGACCTTCTCCAGTCTGGCCACTTCTTTCTTGCATTTTGTGGACCAGAATGGGACACAAGAGTGAGTTTCTTGGACTCATGCTAAAAACCTGACTGAGACTCCGATCCTCCTCAGCAGTGACAGAAGAAGTAGTTGCCATAATTTGCCTTGCTCATGTATTATAAATTTGTAGCTTTTCATAATATTTTCATATCAAAGGTGAATGAAATT